GTGAATTCAGTTCGGGATGGGCAAGACTTCAGAGAGGGCCCTTCAGACCTGAGAGTGCTGTCTGAGCAAGCGCAGGAAGGCCGGGGCTTCCCCAAGGGCCAGCAGGGCGCGGGGAGCCTTTTGTGGGGTGAAGAGTCAGTCCTCTGCCTATTGCTTCTCCCTGGGCACCTGCTTGCAAGGTCTCTAGCTGGACAGGAGAGCACGTGGGGTCTGGAAGAAGGGGTCAGATATCGGAGGGCAGTTGTTACATGCTTCAAAGTCTTAGGCCTTCTGTTGTTAAACCTCCATTTTGTGAAAAGGTACCAAGGAAATTAAAGCTATGAGACAATCTGAGATAATAGAGTCCTGTATGGACACGGTAAAGAATGTAAATTTTCTTTTACCCATGGGAGGGTCCCATGGGCAGGGGTTCTGTTAAGGGGAAGGATGTTCTAAAGGAACTCTGCAGTCTTTGGTGGACTCCACCCCCTACTTCAGCTTTCAGGACCCCACCCCCTACTTCAGCTTTCGGGACCCTACCCCCTACTCCAGTGATTGGAAACTACAACTCCCAGCAGTACCAGGGAGAGAACTGTGAGGACACAAGGGTGGAGCTAGCAGGAATTCTGGGACATTTGGGGCATAAATAGGGCTCGATTGTCTCTGTCTCTCTCGCTCTGGCTTGGGAAGCAGCTCTCCTGACTGACTGCTGCCTCAGTGTTTTCAGTCAGCCATCAGTCAGCCAAGCGGGGAAGGTATTCCAGTTACTTTGTATCCTGCTCTCTTTTCCTGGGTTGTTTCCTACTCCATTCTCCTTTTGTAAATAAACCTGTTATTGACCCTTTTGTGTGTGCCTGCAGTATAACTGAATTTTGAATGCACAGGTGAGGCCCCACAGACAGGCAGCCCTGTCTACTCTGGGCTACCCTGTAACAGTTCCACAATGCTGATGCTGCTCTCTTGTCACAGGATTTGAGCCGCAGTGGCCAGAAGTGAGCGAGGCCCCAAAGACAGCAGCAGTGGCCTAGGCAGGGATCAAG